ATTTGGCATAGACTTTATTTATACCAAAAAGCTTACAAATTAATTTATAATTATAATATATTTCATGATACTATTTATTAATTTTATTAATTTTATTAATTTTAATAACAAGATTCCTGATGAATAAGAATGAATAACAGGTTGATAACTCAAACATTTCATCAGCATTATGAAAAAAGTTATTGTGTTTTTATGGTAATTTTATGATTATAATTTGAAGCTATTGATTATTTTTTTAAAAATAAACATAATACATAAATTTTGGAGGTCATATGACCATTTAATAAAGCCTTCGCCACATTTTCTTCATAAAAAAGCATTATTTTTATTTTATTTATCAATTTTTTTTCAAAGAAAAGATCTGCATAAAATTAGCCAATCATTTTACAGTATTTGGAAATTCCATATTTGGTAATAATCCTGACTGTAATTGGAACAACAACATTCGCGTCTTTTTTCTTAAAAACATTTTACCTATATAACTTTAAAACTTACTTTTTATTTACATCAAAAACTTACGTTTTTCTCTTTTACATTAAAGACTTTTTACGTTTCTTACCTAAAAGCTTACGTGAAAAAAAACTTTAATAAATTAATATTATAAGATACTTTTTTTTACCTTGGTTGTTGTATATAAGAAAATTTAATAGAATCTTTACCAAACAAGAGTAAGACAACTAACGAAATTAGTGATTTAAATTTAAATAAAATAAATTATCGAATTTTAGTAACCGACTTATCAAAACTCACTGAATTTTTTAGATCATGATTCACGAATATTTCATGCGTAAATATACTGAATGGGACATCGTCAAGTTTTTAGAACAATGCAACCTGAACACATTTGGAAAAAAAATAGAATGTTATCTTTTGTCTCTAGAAGAAATTGTGCAAAAGGAGAAAGGTAGAAGGAACTTAAAAGCAAGAGAACTCTTAAATGATTACAAAAAGGCGAGTATTGGAGTCTGAAAAAAAAATTTTTTTTAAAAATATGTGGCGGGGTAGAGGAGCTTTTGAAAAAAAAAGCTTCACTCTATCATAGTCTTCGGGACGAGCCACAAAGCTATGTTGGAGAGCAGGTGATCTTCGGGATCAGCTGATGTCAAAGTCTTCGAGACGATTCTAACATAGCCCCTCGGGGCACAGGTAATCTTTGGGATTACTTGAGGTTAAGTCTTTGGGACAACCTGAGGGACAGATAAAAATCAGATGGAATGAGAACAGATAAAAATCAGATGGAATGAGAACAGCCTAACTAACTAATTTTTCTTCTCGTGTTTTATAAACATTTCATGCCAGGGTGGCATCTACTCAGATCGCCATCGTGCGAGGAAAGCAGAGATAGAAAGACGTTCAATTGAAAAAACCCCAATTCGGATCTACAATTCCAATATCACAGGAGTTAGAACCTTTAAAGGTGGGATGGAAACCATAAATGGAGGAATTTTTAGTGTTAATTTTTCAGAAGCCATTGATGATTTGCCTAAAAAAAGAGATGGAAAAGAAGAAATAGCAATAATAAAAAAAGTGAGTCCAGTTCTTTACGTTTGTCTAGTCTTTTATAAAGTTTTTTTAGCTTATTTATACTTTTGCACATGTTTATATTTTAGAAAATGCGAAAAGACAACGAGGTAAATGTTGATGATAATGAAAATCTTCAAGATGTTTTAGAAGACGAATCTTCTGAGTTTGAAATGGATGAAAATCAATCAAATGTTAATTCTAATGAAGAAGATGGGGTAGAAAGTGAAGAATATGAGAAAGAAGATCAGGAAAGTAATGAAAACGAAAAAGAGACTTGTGTTAAAGTTGATAAGAATGCATTTCGTCTAGCATTTGAAAAAATACCAGAATCATCTAAATTAAAATTAACTTCTGGAAAAGTAGTTGAAGACATACTTTTTAATTACGTAAAGGATCATGATTATGAACAGTTAAGTATTTAAAAAAATTTGATTGTTTTTCTATAATTCAAAATACTAACACTATATATATTTTTTTAGTCATGCTCATTCTTATATTATAAACTGTGATGATCAAGAGATGAAAGCGTTGTTCAATAGCGAAGATTGGATGGAATTGACCAAAGATCATTTAGGCACTCCTGCGGTTCCAGTAAATATTGCTACAGAAATTGCAAAATATGGCAATAAAGATTTGAAAGAATTACGTAAGGCAGTAATGACATCCTATCTGCCGGATGGTATTTCTTATGATAATGATCAACACTACGACTTAGAATGGATTCAAATGGCAATTAGAACTATAGTGGGTCTATATCAAAATGATAATTCTCCTTTAATACAAAATCATTACGAGTATTGGTATACTATTGCTTTACTTGGAACTTGTATAGATACTGCATTTAGAGATGCAAAAATGGGAACAGATGTTAAAAGGTTTTCTTTTATTATTTTTGATTACTGGTGCAATCAAATAATTAAATTATTAGTTTTCAATGTAATTTCATTTGTAATTTTTTACAGATCAGACGCTCCATCATATGCGAGCTCAAATAGAAAGAACCGTATTAAAAAAGGCAAAAGAAAATTGACGGGAAGAAAAATAGATGGCATTGTTTATTTAATAGAAAACTTACATGAGATGGGAGCAATTGAAGGTGCAAGATCTTTCGCTGGAGTGCATGATAAAAAATATCTTCAAGAATATTTTAAAATGCCCAAGACATTACGAGATATGCTGGCAGATTTAATTATAGCTGTTGATTATGATGTTGGTAAAACGAATAAAATTCAAGTTTTTGGAATTATACATCTTGGACTAAAAATACAATTCAGCAGGCTGTGGAGAGCGGGTGGATCGATAACCATCTTCAAAAAAGATTTCCCACTATACGAAGTGCCAAGTAAATTTTCTATCGATAAATTTAAGATTTTCTTAAAATTTTTAATTTCAATATATCAATATAAGGTAAAAAATTTACATTTTGTTTATTTAGTATTATTTCTTCTAACCATTTCAATTTTATTTAATACAGATCATATTAAAAAATAATATACAAGTTCTATATATGGAGAAAGATCCAGAGGAAGATGATCCAGAGAAAGGCATTTTATTAAATGAACTTTTAAATGTTGGTCAACAACAAATACCACCTCCAAATACTATTATTAATCATTTTGCGGATAGTTTTGGAACTCCTCAAAAGCCAAGACAGCCAAGACAATATATATACAGTCAAACCAAACTTTTGGGAACAAATAGGATCTAATTTTAATTTTAGTAAAATGTTTATTTTGAGATTTTTTTTTTTTGTTGTAAATTTTTTTTGAAGAATTTTCTGGTTGTTTTTTTGATTACTCTTCTTACTCTAATTTTTCACGACTTAATTAAAATTCGGTTATTATTGTTATAATAATAAAATAAAACAAAATTATTATTCCAAACAAAAAAAATTATTTAATGATTGTTGTACTGATGTATTATTCTTATGACTTAATAACTTCTAAAAGTACGAATGCATTTTAATTTATTGTCACATACATTGAAACCACTTAGAGGATATACTTTAATGAATCTTCGACGCCCACTATAGTATCTGTGATAGAAATGCCTGGAATAGAGGTTTCACCCCACTGCTCATTTATGAGATTTTACTGTAAGATGAAATTCGTTCTGTTTGGAGGAATCTGTATTTTTTCTTAGCACTATATCCTATTTTTATATCTTCTATCATATAAAATATAAATATATTATTCGTATTTTAGATTTTTGTGAACATCTACGTAAAGTTTTATGAATTAATGTTACCACCAATAAAAAAATTACAGTGAATTTTTTCTAATTACTATGTATTGTATAGTTTAATATCATTTAATAGGGTTGACTTTATTTATTTTTTCATTTTATAACAGCTCAACTGATTTGATTTTCCATATTCCCTTAAGCAAATATATAAATTAAATGTAATTGGTATATATATTCATTCAATTATTTGTTTTTTAAAATATGTATATTCTTCTTCATGATAGCTAAGGTTATGAACGAACCCCGTTTATCATGAGTGCCGAAAGGTGAAACCTCCTACATAGTGTCGAAACTGTCGAAATGTCGAAATGACTAAAACTGTCAAAGTTGTCTAAACCATGGCTGACTTTTTTCGTAGTTTGGCATAATTATCAGTAAGATTTTAATATCAAACAGACAATTTTTCACACTTACTGATCCCCACTATAGTGATGGCATATTTTTGTGCACCAGACTCCAAGGAAAAAAATATATAATGCAATGTCATAGCGACATTTACAAATCTCATAAGAGCAGGACAAAATTTCACAATGTCCAAATCATTTATTTCTAAAATTTGAGCAATTACCATCAAATCCAAGTTTAACTCTTGGGCAAAGAAATAGAGAATTAAATATTGATAATAATAAATTTTCAATGTGTATGTTTAACTACTTATTGAAAGAAGAAATTATTTGTGGTGATTATTGGATTTTCCATATTACATTGAACCTATTACCTAAGTACAAGACTTACAAGATAACCTACAACAAGGTAAGTCCCAACATCGCAATGTAACTCTTGTTGTGTTTCTGCAATATACTTTAAAAGTATATTACCGGCTCTACTTGCATCTCTGTCAATGATAGATTTGCAAGCAAAGTTCACACACTTAAAATATGTAAGAAAAATGCTATATAGTAGTAATAGGATATTAATATCCAAATGATCCGTACAAATATTATGTATTTTTGTAATGTTAAAATAATATTTTTATCTTCATCATTTTCATTTAATTGAAACACCGATACTTTTTTCAATTTTTAATACATCAAGTCAAAATCTGTCTTCAGATGAAGTAAGTGAATATTTAAAAGAAGGTGAGATTGAATTTATTCTAGTCCATTCGATTGACGGAATTACAAAAAAATCCAGGTACCCTCTTCTTGCAAAGCTTGCTTACCAATCACTTTCTGTCTCAGCAACTTCAACGCCAAGTGAAAGATTATTCGGTCATGTAGGGAATTTATTAACTGCTAAGAGATCACATTTAGATCTAGAATTATTTAAACAAATGTTGTTTTTAAAAAGAAATGCAAATTGCGTTAAATTTATTCATCTACTGAATTAATTTCAATTTGAACATATGAATTATCAAAATTATTTAATTTTAATAATATTTCACTAATACTAATACTAATCTAATACTAATATCATTGGATTATCCGTTCAATCTGTTCAATCCACGAATCATCTGGATCACCATAACCAGTTCAATTCTATGGATTCTATGGATTATCCGCTCAATCCGACGCGTGTATTCTTTGAGAAATTACTGAACAACAGATTAATTTTTAGAGGTAAATGACGGATGAACGGATGACAGATATCTGCAGATCACATCAATAGACTAAACATAAAAAGAAAGATCATGACATGGCAAATAACAACCAAATTTGATTAGCAAAATTTGTGCGCAAATCGAATTTCATCGGACCAGGATCGACAGAGCAATAATTAATAAATATTTTTAAAATATCAAATTAATTTAAATATGAAAAATTCGTCATCAAACGATTCAATCATCGAAACGAAAGCATCCAAAGCATCAAAGTAATAAATAATCATTAATGTATTTTTCTAATACGAAAGAAAATTTTTTAGTAAATTTTCAAATCTTTAATTTAGTGGAATGATTTTCAGACTTTATTTATATATTATTCTTATAATATTGGTTCCAATTGCAACTTATTACTTTGCATTGAATTATATATTTGAAGGTAATTAAATCAATCAATCAATCAATCAATTATATACATTTATCCAGATTTACTAATTAAATGATTATATATATATATTGATCAATTAATTAAAGAACATGATACAACAAAAGCAGCAATTTCAGTTGTTGTCGTAGTAAATGCTTTGTTACTTTCATTTTGGGTTTTTGCTATTTCAGAAGATTCAAATAACAATAATAAGAATATAAAATCATCATCATCACAACAAAAACAAATGAAAAATGAATAAAAAACTAATTACAAACAATAAAACAGGAGTCTTTCCAACCAACGATTTTGCAAATGTGCATCATCCAGTTGTATAAAAAATTTCCGTAGAGGTAACAAATTAAAGATTTATCTTCTTTTATCATCATTTATTATTATTATTTAGCCCTTGTAATTTAAAAATAATAAATTCTTTTTGATGTATGTAATTCAATATTTTTTAGTCATTAAAGCAATGTTTCAATTGCAAGTTAAGGTTTCAGTAATTTATATTAAAGTCTATTGGGTTAGTCAGTCAAATTACCATACAAAAAAAGATTGTTTGTGTGATCAAGACATTAACTGCTAATTATCCAATTTCTAAATTTTTATTGCGATTTAATTTGTAAAAAGGAAAGCATATTCATGCTTAATGAATTAAATGTACATAATGAACGTTTAATCATGTCCTTCCTTCTTTGTGTTTATATACTTACAAAAAAAAATTTATTAATAAAAATTTATAATGTCAAGGAATGTAATCAAGAAACTTTTTTTTATGAATAATAATAATTATATAATATTATGGAATAATAATAAAAAATAAATTTAAATTTTTTTGATTTTCTCTAATGTTTTTTTTTGCCTTTTTTGGTTGTGACAATTTTAAATGTTCCAACACCACCATTACCAGAATAATCATCTTTAACATTCAAAATCCCTGGCCCTGTTTCTTTGCTTGATCTACCTTCGGAATGATTAACACCTGAACCGACTGAGTTAACATCTGCTTTTCGCCTTTTAATAAATTCATCAGCAAATCGTCGCCCATCTAACGATGATGAATGTGCATATATGATATCTTGTATAATTTCAATGGTTGCTGGTGGTGGGTCAAGTGGAAATGTGAGCAACATTTGTATACAATCATCAGCTGTCAAACATGAATAAATGAGAATGTTAGCATGTGTATAAATAAATATTTAAAACAAATATAAAATGATCCAATATATTATATCATCATACCATTGGCATCATTATTTAATCCACGTAAAGCTTGTCTACACCATTTCAAAAATTCATCTGAAGGTGGGCGTAGCGTATTAATATTTTCCGAAGAAATATTTCCTCCTCCTGTGGAACTTGCGCTATTAGATTTAGGAGCACCTTTTGTTGTACTTTTATTGGCATCTTTCTGTTTGACTGATTGGCCACTTTGAGGTCTAATTATAATCAATCAATCAATATTTTATTATAACACTGAAATGATATATATCTTATATAATAAAATCAAATATTTTTAATTTGTATATAAAATACCTAGAACTATTCTGTAAAACATTATTTCCTTTTTGAAATTCAACTGTATCCCATGCTGATGTTGAATCCTTTGAAGTAATCGTAGTGTTGGTCGTATTATTTGATTTTGTCAACCCATTATGAGTTGTAGCATTAGATGTCGTATTTACTGAGGTCGAAGCTACTGTTGATGCTCTATTAGATGATTTGCTAGCAACAGTAATCCAAGGTGTAGACACTGTATTTGTATTTGTGTTTGTAATCGTCGTCGTCGGTGTTGGTGGTGGCTTCTATAAATTAATAAATAAAAATCTCAATCACGAAATTTTTTTAAATGAGTATTTATTTCAAAATAAATTTTACCTTAACAACAACACTACCCACCACTCCAACCGCTCCACCGGTTGTCACTGTATCAGCATAACGTTTTCCGATGCTACTTTGAACAGTTGTGTGACTGACAGTATTAGTTCCATGTGAATTTTGTTGTTGCATTTCACGTATTTTGTTTTTTCTTCTTCTAATAGCTTCTTCTTCTTCCTCTTTTTGAATTTCTCTAAATGTCTTTTTTGGTGCATTAGTACTGGATTGCCAGGCAGGTGTAGTAATAGTAGGCGAAGTTGATGATGAAGACGAATTTGATTCATTAGATGATGAAGGCACAGTGATTCCCCAACTTGCTGTAATAACCTCATCTTTGCTTGCAGTAGCATTTGAACTGATGTTGGATGCTGTAGATGTTGTAGCAGTAGAAGCAGTAGCTGCTGCCGCTGCCGCTGCTATAGCTTTACGTTCTGCAGCTTTACGTGCTTCCACTTCTTGAATTTCTCGTAAAGATGGTGCTTTGTGAGTTGTTGAATGTTCTTCATCTTTAGCCCATGGTGCCGGTGAAGATGCATTCACTGGACTATTGTTTGACCAAGCATTACCTGACATTTTTTGAGTTTGTGTTGGTTTTGGAAGAGCACTATTATTAATATTGTTAATATTACTATTATTGGTGGGATAAACTGAATTAATGGTCGCCTTTTCTTTTTCTTCTTTTTGCTTTTTACGTTCTTCCTCTGCTTGAATTTCACGGAATGAAGGCTTAATATATGATTTTTCTTTTTGAACAGGATCAGTCTTTAACACTTCTGGTTTATTTTTAAATAATGATGATTCCTCGGTTTTATTTTCAACGACTGTTTTATTACTATCATTGTTATCATCATCGTCATTATAACTATTATTATGACTATCATTATAATTATAATTATCAATATCTTCTGTAATATTATCAACAACAGTCTCAACGTTTCCAATAATTATATTATTCTCTATTTTTGAATCGACAATTTGTCCATTACTTATCTCATAATGTTGTTGATGTTGTTGATTATGATGAAGCTGTTGCTGCTGCTGATCCTGCTGCTGATCCTGCTGCTGCTGTTGCTGCTGTTGCTGTTGCTGCTGTTGCTGTTGTTGTTGTTGTTGCTGTTGCTGTTGATGGAACTGCTGTTGAATAATTTGCTGCTGGTGTTGCTGGTGCTGCTGAAGTTGCTGAAGTTGCTGTTCATTGGAACGAGGTTGTAGTTGTTCTATATGAGAAGTAGTGTGTGGTAACTGTGTTAAAGGAATATTTGGTTCTTTTCTAACACCAAAATATTCAATCACATCAGTTGGTGGAATACGTGAAGGTGTAATGCCAACATTAGGCGCAATGACACTCCATGGCGATGGAGGTGGCGGTTGTTGTTGATCCGTTGTATTATGCCATCCGGAATTTCTTGTCAATGCATCAATAAATGTTCCGGTAGGAGCGTTGGCTATAGGAGCAGAGACAGGCCCAGATATTCCAACATAAGTTTGTTGTTGCTGTTGCTGCTGCTGCTGTTGTTGTTGTCGTATAAATGTATCAGAATAAGGATGCTGGTTTTGCTGTAGCTGCTGCTGTTGTAATTGCCTTTGTTGCTGCTGCTGTTGTAGCAACAAATATTGTTGTTGTTGTTGTTGTCTTTCAATTTGTGAGGACAACGCTCGTTGATGATCCAAATATCCTTGTGGAGGAGATGTGCCGTAGTTTGTTGTGTTAGTTGGTGGTTGCATACGGGGTGATAGGTTACCTGCATTTGAATTGAATCCTTCTGTTGCCGTTACCCATGCATTACTATTATTTGTAGTAGATGTAAAATCACCCCAACCATTTGTAATATCATTTCTCCCGAAAACACCACCAAATTGATACCGTTCAAAAGGAGTATTGGGAACAGATGTTGTTGTCGTAGATGCTGTTGTAGCTGCACCAAACGGATTAAATCTCTGTTGATGATCCATAAATAATTGTGCAGTACTCGGTGAATTAGGCGCAACCCAGTTACGTTGAAATGGATCATTAACTAATCTTGATGTATTATTTGCAGTTGCGATTGTTAAATTAGGCCGATTAACAATTACAGGTGCGGAAAATGGTCGATCTTCATCATTAGTTTTTCTAATCAATGTACCTAATGGTTCAAATGTCTGATCTTCAACTCTTTTAACCAACAAATTAGTTCTGAAGAAACCACCTTTATACCAATCATTCATCTCTTGACTAGTGAATGGACCTAAAATTTATTGGTAAATGTTAAATAGAAAAACGCACATTAATTCAATCAGCTAATTTAATCAATCCATTAACAGATTTTAAAAATAAAATTAAACATTGAAATATTATTAACCTTGTATATTGCCAGTTGGATCACGATATAACCATTTAGAATTTGGTTCTACAGGAAGTTTCCTTGGCTCAGGATTTATTGCTGCATTAGCAAAAAGACTAGTCACCCCATTAGCTGCATTAATGATAGAATTCGCAGAAGAATATTTAGGATTCTTTGCAGTAGGGGATAGTGGAGGAGAATTACCACCTATGCTTGGATAAGCAAATGCTTCTTTCAATACGTCATCATCCTGGTCTGGGTCAAGATGATGTGACAACAATAGTTTTTGAGGATGATGATGTTGTAATAAATGCTGTTGTCGATGTTGATGTTGGTGACTTTGTTGATGTTGTTGCAAAACTTCTTGACGATCTTGAAAAAGTTGTTGTTGCTGCAACACATGTTGTTTTGGTTGCTGATGATGGTGAAATTGTTGTTGTTGAAGTTGCTGTTGTTGCTGTTGTTGAATCTGCTGTTGTTGTTTTTGTTGCTGCTGTTGATATTGTTGTAGTTGTAGGAGTTGCATTTGTTTTTGTTCATGTTCCTGCTTTAATTGTAATTTTAAACTTTGCTCTTTATCTTGTTGCTGTTGTTGCAGATGCAACTGCAGCTGTTGTTGTTGTTGCAACTGGAATCTCCTTATCTCTTCGTTATCCTTTAAGAGCTGTCGTTCCTCCTTTTCTTTTTCATCTTGTATACTTAATTGATTTAAAAATTGTTGCTGCTGCTCAATCAATAAATTATCGCGACCGTTTTCTGATTCAACGTCATCACTGGTTTCATTTGATTCTTCGAGTGTTTTATTTAGAGCTTCTCGATTCGAATGTTTTTGCTCAGGCGAATCCAAATTATCATTTCGAATTTGTTCGATCACTTGCAAAGTGTCATTGTATTCATTTTCAGCCTCTTCTTGTTGTTGTTGTCGTTGTTGTATAGTTTTCCTAGTGTAAGGATTCTGATTCTCAGGCGAAGAGGATTGAGTTTCAGATAATTTTTGTTGTCGTTTATCCTCTATTTCCTGTTGCACCATTTCATCTTGCTGCTGCTTTTGATGATGTTGGTGGTAGTGGTGATAGTGGTTAAATTTTTCTTCTGAAAACTCTTGCAGAGAAGGTTTCAGTTCCTCTGTGGAAAAAGTTCTCGAACTATTTTCTTCTTTTTCATCGTCTTCTTTTGGGGAAGAGTTATGTGCAAACTTATCATGTACATCTGTCCATTCTTTTTTGTGTAGCAGGACATCACCATTTTGAGAAATTTTATTAGAAGATGTCGAATTTTCTATTGGGGCCTTCTTTTCAAACTGCATTGAGAAAAAATGAAATGTGACTCTTTGTCACATTGATATATATATATATATTTGAATAGGAATCATCTACCAACCTCTTGTTCTATTTTTTTGGCACTGTCGTCACCCTCTTCTTCATAATCATAATCATCATCATCTATCTTAGATTTATCTAATGCATCATCATCTGTAATACCTCCCGGAATTCGAAAGACACCATTACTGTCAAAAGTACCAACAGTATGCCTGGTGACGCCATTCCATACCGGATCATCTGTATTCGTTGTTGTATTCGTTGTAGTAGTAGTCATTTTTTCTGTTGTGATAGATGATGATGATGTTAATGATGCTCGGGTAGGTCGACTATTACGTGGACTCGTTCGACCATTATTAAGTACGCCCCCTATAATTCCAGTAAAACGATCGTTTTTTGGCGAGGTCAATGCTGTGGAAATGTGTTTTTCTCCACGAGGGTAAGGTGGCCTTTCCCTTTCTGTACGTTCACCACCTGTGATGGTCCCACCTGTGGCATTAGAGATAATACGACGAGTAAGATCACTATTAACAGAAGTACCTGACAATAACTAAAAAAGAAATAATGTGCATGCATATAACAAATGAATTTTGTTTAGTGAAATTAAAAAATTTTAATTTTTAAGAATTTCCAATTTATTTAATTGAAAAAGATTTTCATAAATGAAAACAGCCATATAATCATTATATACCATTCATTCATTCATTTATAAAATACCTTTTGTTCTTGTTCCGTTAGTGCTATTGTAGCCATGGGCTGTAATGGTTCCTCGCTTGTAACATATTCATGTCTTTCAAACTCTAAAGGTAGCCCTACAGGCTTATATAGTTTAAGCATGTATTCTTTAGAATATTTAAATGGATTCAAAGCTGAATCGTTTGAGCCTGGTACTTCAGATTTTTCGGAAGTCTCGTTGATAAGACGATTTGTAAGTGAATTATTACTAGCGGCGGCCACTGAAGACCAAGAATATGTATTTGTCGTGGTGGCGCTACTATTGTTATTATTGTGAATGTTATTATTGATTGAATTAATATTATTGTTGCTACTATTAAAGTTATTCGTTGCATTGGTAGTGACATTATTATTATTATTAGATGACAGTAAAGTTGGTGAAGTTGCACGATTCATATCAGACGTTGGAGTCTTTGGAGGGTAACGTCTCATCCTTTAAAATAAATTTTTATTTATTTTGAAACAATCAATAAATATAATGTGTATATATATATATATATATCTTGGAATTTATTTATGGAAATCTAACCAACTCAAAATTTTTTTTTAAAAAAAATGGAACATACCACTCCGGTCCAAAATTCATTGTGTTGCTTGTTGCCATTGTAAGTTTTAAAGAGTATTTTGATATTGTTGATGTTTTGAATGTTTACTAAAAGTTTTTTAGTAATAAAATTTGTCTTAAAAATATATATTAATATTATTTATTATTTGGGGGACACATTACAACAAAAACCAGAGAATGATTAAAATTTCAGGGGTATAAATATCGTTACACTAATATGTGGCTCATTCTTCCCTAAATAAACATAAAACGATCGACATTTCTTTAATATTAGCTTACGACACCCATAGTACTTTTTTCTTTCTTTAAATATGATTGAACAAAAAAAAATTTTTAATGTAATGGAACAAATCATAGTACAACTTTCTATTCAAAGGTGATTTTTGTAGAAAAATAATTGCCGAATTTGGTTAGCACCCTGATTTTATTGTGTTCGATTCACTCATTCATCAATTAAATTTTGCAAACAATCAAAACATCAAGCAATCAACGCACAAGGATAATTGGAAGTTGTTACAATAGTAACACTAATATTTGAAGAAACTTTTGGTGCACCGTTTGTGATTTGCTCCTTTAATTTCTGACGTTGCCATTCTTTATTCCTGACCTGTCTGTACCCAGCAAACACTAGTGGTAGCATTGAGAATATTCACGATTATGTTTGTTAGTGAGTATCAGCTATTAATGTTTTTTTATCAAGCTTTCGGTTTTTGACATCTCACCATACAGTTATCATTTTAGAGTCTGTACAACTTTTATTTCTCTGGGAAGGTAAAATATTTATGGTCGTGAAGTTCCCGTTTATTTATTTCATAGAAAAGACCCTTTAAAATCGGGTAGGAATATAGGTGTTGGATGCAGGGCTGACTGCGTAAAGAATTAAAATCCTAATTTAGTCTTGATTAAAATTGACTAAACTTGACTTAACGTAATGATTTAATAGTTTAGTCAGTTTAGCTAAATACTCATTTAGGGTTACGCGGACCAGCCTGGTCGGAAAAAATTTGTTGAAAAATAATGATCAGCTGATAAAAATTAAAGACTAATTTAATACTGAAACCGATTTGCAATAAGACTATCAAGAAGAAATTTGCATGACCCTAAATTCAAAAAAGAAATGAAAATGATCTTCACTCAAAAAATTTTAAATGAATATTCATAACTCATAAATTTTATTATGTACGTTTTGCGTAATTTAACAAAAATATTAGATCTACAGATTCTTTTGTCCAAGTAGTGTGTTTTTTTAACATCGTCAATTATACCATCCATGATTGGGTTTTATTTGGAAGATTACTTGGCTAAATCGCCAGAATATTCGTACCACAGAGTAATAAGAGTTTCGACACTTTAGAGTAAAATACAACTGGGATGCGTTTGGCAGGCTATGGAAACAATTTTTTCCGTAAAGATTCAATGGTAGGTGATGAGGCTCAGACGAGGCTCAGATGTTGTGTAAGAAAGAGTATGGAATCGACACAACTGTTAAAACATTTCAGAAATGGTGTGACGACAAGTTCTGAAGAATTGCTTTCAAAAGAACCAGTGGCTTTTATATTATCTCTATAGACCTTTCAACTCCCATCCAGATACCACCTGAAAACGGCAAAGCTCTTGACAATATTGCATTTGCCCGGGCAGGATTATATTCATATATCGAAAACCCTTGCATTATTATTTATTGTATCTTAGAATTGGATGATTATGTCAAATTAATAACAGAAGGACAACCCGGGTTTATTTTGTCACACGACATCACACGACACATTAAACAGGCGTGACTTGGAGTAACATATTTAAAAACGGAATCAATTCAAGTATTAATGTGCCCAAGATTCGAGAACTGATGTCTAAGCAATTGGAAAAATACGTCAAAATGTTTGCTTGAGAGGAAAGGTTCCAATAAAAGTATTTTAAATTTTGAAAACTAACATTTTGTAGCAACTTTTCTTCGACGCTCGTTCTTTCAGCAATGTTTTGGGAGTAGCAATCCAGTTTTCGGTTATCCTTTGTCACTATATGGTTTTATTGTAAATACCATTCAGAATAATGATGCCTTTTGAAATATACGTGTCAAAAAGAAAGATGTTGAGACAAGAATAATTTTTATCATATGATATGATAACATTTTATGCGGATGAGCAATGGAGATTTTGTGGGATCTTATTAACATATCGGTATCAAAATCTTTGACCTATGAGAAAGTACAAAGAAATGATTCAGTATGCAAAAGGCAGTAATTATCAATGTTTACTATGAATTAAAAAAGGTTCAGGAACAACAACCGGAATCTATACAATGAAAGAGTCTCTCTGACCAATAAAATGGCATAGCAAATTGTTGGCTACTCTCCAAACATAATGATTTCAAAATTTAAAATTATTACATTGTCAATAAAAAACACCAGTGAACTTTATTTTTTAACATAAATATAAATTCATCAAATTAATTACAAATTTTTTTTAAAAAATAAAAAAGTCTCGATTCCACCCAAAAATTCGACTTTGAAAAACTGAAGCAAAGAGAAAAAATCAAGTTGAATAAACTTAAACGATGTTTAAATACATAACTTCAATTTAATTCTCTCGATTTTCTTTTACCTTCAAATCAGCAATCAACCCATATTATTATTCAAAATAAAATATTTGAAACCACTAAATTTTTTTTTTCATATTTAAAATTAATAATTTGGTTAGGTGCTAGACATATTATTATTGATAGGTTTATTGGGGGAATTATCTTCTAAACCTGAAAAATATAAAGCATTTCATTATGTTGCTTAATCCTTTTTTGTTAATAACATCTATTCTTTCGTTTCCTATATCTGGATTTTTTTTGTGCGTAAATGGTCACCAAAATTTTTAAGCCCTGTAAATTTTTTTATTTATTATAAATGGGGACGTGCGGCAAAAAATTTTTTATCATTCATAAAAAAAAATCATTGCTGAAATAATAAATTGAATTAATCAAAAATAATGTTAGGCTATGTATGTGGCACATATCAAATAAATAAAAAATATTTGGTTTTTTTTTTAATCTCATGCATTCATGCATGATTATGATTTTTGATTACGATCATTCCTATTTGGTTGCACTAATCGTTTTTCTATTAATAATTCAAACTCTATGGATGATTCTAACTTGTATAATAAATCAATATATTATTACGATTTTGTTCTCGTTTTTCTCGTCCTCGTCCTCGTCTTCATTCTTGATTTCTATCAAGATGACAATCTTGAGATATAAACCAAATACCTTTAGCTTCTTTACCAAAGTCAACAAAATTAATAAAAATCATGTTAATAGACCTATAATTAAAATTTTCATCTAATATTGCTTGTAGAAGATGCATCAAATTACCAATTTGATGGGAAACATGCCGCGGAAATTGGGCGTGATAGTTTCAAATGAGCATAAACTACTCACCCATGATCCACACATAATATTAATATGGAGCAAAATGAAAATGTAATTAAATTCGTTAAATGCCATTTTCTACATACTAGAGATAAATGAGGCAGCAATCCCTCTTCAGTTTTGTTTTTACTTTTCCAAATGATACAAGTATTACCTCCGTAAACATAAAAGAATTATAGCAATATTAAAAGTATTTTAAAAAAGAATCATTATTAGTTTCTTATGAAGCATGTAATACAAACACAAACATAATTTAATGCACTTTTTACTCATAGTAATAACAATTGTAGAAGAGATAAATCAATTTGTAAGGTGGTCAGTTGATGATGATGGGAAAGAACAATTAATTACACAATAATTACATAATAAATTTATACCTCAGTATTAGTAATATATATATAAATTAACAAAAATCAATAACCATAATAGCAATAATATGTATAATAATAAATTTTCCCTTTACTGAACATCATTTAAAATACAACATTGAATTTTTGGAAGACAAACATCATCGTTTTAACATCATCTCTAACAATGCAACCAAACAAATTCCTAGCATCAATATCAAATGGACAATAAGTTAATGGGGCTTGATGTTGACGGTGAATGAATTTTCTAGTTGTATTTAATTTCAATAAGCGATGGTAGTAGTAACTGTAACACTGGGAAAATCCTGGGTTTGAAATGATCATGTCACCGAAGGTGATTAATTCAAAATTTTTACGTAAATGACGTCAGTTGCGTGATTTATCATGTGTTTGCTATGTAACACATTGCACAGTATTAATACTAATTGCATTTTTCGCGTTTTTTTCTAATAAAACAAAGTGTTTGCTTCTTATTTAACTGCACGAATGTTTATATATTTGTTTTTAAACTATATAGTCTATTTATGAACATTTTAAACGAGAGGGATCAGACAAGTTATAACAATCAAGAATTCTTTCAAATGCTTTGCGAAATACTAACAAATGGACGAGAATTTTTAAATGATTGGTGTGGAGCAGTCGGATACAACTATTTACTTGAATCTTTAGATGATAAAGATAAAATCGAAAAGGAAGCAAGTGAATTTTTAGAAACAAAAAAAAATAAACTATATTCTAGATCATCACTTTAAGAATGCTGTTGCTGGATACCTCTGAACGTCAAAAAAGATTGGAATGAACATTTTCCAAAATTAAATGGTATTTTAAAAAAATAAGGCATAGGTGAAGCTAAACCATACGATGCTTTAAATGACAATGGTTGCTCTCCAAATAACCCAATTGGTTTAATTTATCGTGGATATGTTTGCTTATTTCACAATTTGAGGATACAGAAGATGATTTTATACTAAAAAAGTATCATATAAAGGATGATAAAGGTGATATCGAAAGAAGGCAGACATCTCGTATTATTTCTTTTCCGAAAGATCCATCTGATGTTAATGGTCCAAATCATGATATAAGATTATATTTTTCTAAACGTCCTTCTCATTACAAATATCCAATGATGTAGTTAGTGGTGAATCTAGTGGATCTGATGTGATTAGTGTATTTCCAATGAATCAGGAGATGAACTCAATGTAGATGATGAACTTGATGTAGATAGTAGGCTTGATGTGGATAATGAACCCGATATAGTTAATGTACATGGCGAGTTAACACATTTTCTATTGTTAGCGAATATTATATTCAAAGTATATTATTCGCTACAATAAATTGTAATTCAATTGCAAAAAAAATATATTATTGGCATTACATTTAAAAAAAATTTCCAATTTACCCTTCGTTTACAAGAACATTCAATGATATTACAAACAATATTGAGATTCTGAAAAAGTTATGATCAAAAATTTACTATAAAATTGTATAATCCATAATAGATAAACTTATTTTTTATTGTATATTAATTAAATAGTATTATTTATTATTACAGTCAACCCCTCTAAGTGCACTCTCCTTGGGAACATATCACTATCACTCATGCGTACATTTAGAGAGGGTATATATAGTGCGTGGACATAGAGAGAGGATTGACTGTATATGTATGTTGATTTCTTTTATATTAGTTAATTGCAATTTTATTAAAAAAAATTACTACATTGCGTGATTAGTTGTTTAGTAACTAACATTTAATACGTTACATAGAAAATGCATGATAAAATACTATTACTATTATTAATCTTGCTTATTGATAATGATCACAGGTAGAATGATCTTTGATCGAGAATCATCCGATTGGTTATTAGTTAAATTGATAACCGATTTCTATTAATTAGTATTATATTTATAGAATTTCAATGTGTATCTGATTATATGTGTGGACGGTATATTCTGATTCATTGATTTTACATATTTATTACATTACATTATTAAATATTAAAATTTGTTGGTATTAAGGGTTTTTTCATATAGTTTGATAACAGGTTAATCCGTCAAAATAGCAAGTATTATTGGATAATAAGATTTTATTTAATTTGGAGGATGAGTTGTTCAAGTTATGATTTATTTCTTTTTTTTAAGAACATAATGTTTTTAAAAAAATCAGTTTGCATGTTAATAATTTACTAGCATCTGAAAAAAGTCTTTCACTTGGTATAGATGTTGCGGATTTGTTAATGGATCGTAACACTGCTACAATAATTGTCCAGGTACAATAATTCCTTTAAAAAAAGGATTATCACCACACTAAAAGAAATTCCACTGCACACAAAAGCTCTTGCGAGTGCCAAAATAATTTCCAATTCCTCTTTGATTATTATTTCCAACTCTCTTTCTCTTGCTACTTGTAGAATTGGTCCACATTTATGGACTTGCGTAATTTTTTTGCATAATTTTAATTTAGTATGTTTTAGAAACGTGATCCTCAATCTGGATATCTGTAAAAAAAATATGTTCATATTCAGATTGATGGATAGCCGTTTTAAAAGATTGTTCGATATTTTGAAGCATCTGCTATCTCTTTATCATCTTTTGCGTTTGGTCTCGTGCCTTATATGTAAACCAGGGTTCCATTGGTGTAACATTTTATACAAATTTACAATGGATCATACCAAAACTTATTGGTATCAATGGATCCAGTCTATTATCACCCTTATGTAAATTAATTGAAACTTGTTTGCATCAAAAAGCAACGTGGAATACCTATTACAATATGGAACAATAAAACTAATAAAATTTTAGTGAAAAGTCTCGATGGCAAACATGTCTTCAAAGCAAACGTACCATTTTTTTTCGTCCTTCTTAACAATACTTTCCAAGTTATTAATTTTTTGTTCTCAAAAAAATTCGCGTTCATTTTCATTCAAATTACTGAATGTTTTTTTGTTGTTTCTTAGGTATCTTTACGTTTTTATCTCCATCTATGCCTTCTCCATTTTCGTTATTATTATTACTACTTCCATTTGTTATTTTTCCTTTATTTGTTTTTTTTCCCTTGGTCAGCTAATTAGATATCAAGATTTGAAATGATAAATTAATAGCGCTGGTCATTAGTAGACTTGATTAAATTGAAAAACTAATACGCTCACCATTATTTTTTCGGCATATTTAGATATTTAATATGTATATAGTAAGAAGGTGTCTATTAAATATATACTTGCTAATACTATTTTAGTTAAGATAAACGACTCAAGTATGGATGGAAGTATATAGATAAACGTCCATTTTCAGTCGTCATGATATTAATAATGTGATTTTTTTTGCGATGTTTTGAAATTTATCTTTTGCAGATAATTTACAAATTTGGTTAGAGCGCACACCCTAATTTATGCAGTTTCCAGACAATCAGATTATCGGATCAACTGTGCTTCGAAATTCTTGGAATAACCAACCCCATTCCACTGGATGGCGTATACTTACTTGCCTCCGATGTATTTCTTGACCGTTACTTCCTCAAGAGTTAATCTACATTTGGCGAGGTCTTTTATGAAATAGTTGGTGTCTTTTCGTATTATTTTTGATATATTGGAAGAAATTCAAATTTGATGGCCATTCTCCGGTTACGTAAGTAATAATTCCAAATGGATACTTTTCAAACTAATGTGAGTAAAAAAGTGATCAAGGTTATGGAGACTCTTATCCCACGCATCAAAAAATTATGCGAGCTCTGAGGTTTATGGAAACGCGATAATATCCAAAGAAGATGGGAATAGTATTTCATTTCTGCATGGTCTTGGTGTTATCATTACTTGGGCAATGATTAATCCTTTGTAAAAAGAGATATATATTTAAATAATAATACACATGATCATAACGAATGTTGTATACAATTTAAGTGACATTCAAAAAGGCTAAATGATGTTTTATTTTTTGATTCAACTAATGATGTCAACTTGAACCGAATTTAGATGATAAATGTTTTTGTCATTTAGCATTTTAGTTGTTGTAATTGTAAAACGTTATATAATTAATGGTTTGCTAAAAAGTCAAAATTGTATAATAAAGTTTAATTAATAGTTTGTGTTTAAAGTCAAAATTATAGTCTTGTGATATTCATAAAATAGATTTCTTTCCATTATAGGCCCTTGTTCCATAATTTTTATTATCAAAATGACCGAAATCTCGAGACGTTCAATTACAAGCTAATACATTAATGAAAAAAGTCAAAGTTGGTTGGAAAATATGGATTATAATACTACTCAAGATTTAATAGATAAAATGTTTGAAATGGATGGTGAAATCAATGTATAATTAGAATCACGATGATAAATAACATATATAATCAGGCTATATAAATAAATATTCTTTTTGAAGAATTTTATATAGTGTAAATTAAAGTAATAATATATACTATTACTACGACGTTTCAACATCGAATTTTTGATATTTATCCAATCAGACAAAAGCTTAACTGAAATTTAACCTGTCAAAAACTTATCAGTTAAGCTGACATCATTAGATTAGATTCAATTTTATAATGATTTTAATTGATATATATAAATACTAAACATTAACATGATAAATCATTAGAATAGATTGTATGAGAAGGCATTCCTATTCGATCTATTCTATATTTTTACTATTATTATTAATAATACTATTACTATTGTTAATATTGTATCCTCTTTCATCCATTTTTTATTCTCTCTTTATTGATTCTTGGATTGCTTCTATCATTTTTCTTCTAGGATTCATTTTTCATTGGTAGAAGTCTTTTTTTAAGTGGAGGCAAATCACTTTTTCCTTCATCATCATTTTACTAAATGAAAGCATGGATGCAACTAGTTTTTCTATCAAATAATCGCTCAAAACCCTTCCATGGGTTTCCAATTTCTTTTATCATAAGTAACTTTGTTTGGTTAATCTTTTTTTTTATTTGGATTTTTCTCGACTTTATTTTAATCAGTTTTTGATTGATTTACAGGTGTTAAGAAAAAAACGGCGGTTTGTAAAATTATATGATGAAAATTATACCAGATCTTAGGTTACAACGTATGAAATTTTTGAAAGAAATTAAAAATAATCAGATTCCTTTTATTTCCAATTGACAAAATTCTAGAAAATTTGGAAATATGAAAGTTTATATATATATATAATCTCCAGAACTTTCATTACAAGCTGGTATCTTTTTTGTTATGTATATTTTTGTGTCAGAATTATTTATTATTAAAAAATTCCGTGTTTAAATTTCAGACAAAAATTTAGCAAAGTTTTAAAAAAAGATATGAATTAACTTTACAGAAAATTGGCAATAGCAGATGTCTATTTTTTTTATTTAACAAGGTAATTTGATTTCAAACAAATCTAAATTTATTTAATTATGTTATGTAATTGTTGATATATGCTATTTTTTGTCACCGTCGTCTTTTTCTTAACACACTGCATATTATAAAGTTGATTTGTGTAAGTTTTATAGTGAAGCAAGAAATTAAACAATGGTTATTGAAGGATTTGCAACTTGGTTAGTTTGTTTGTTTTTACCCGAGAATAGACGAATTGGTGATATTTTTATAATGTTCAAACACAAGGCGGGATTATTACCTTGTTTTGATGCCAATCAAATAAAAACAACGATATATTTAAATCACATAAAGTATGTCTTGAATGGGATGTAATTTTTTCTATGGTCAAGCAAATTCAACATCGAGGGTCAGCTTTATTGATCTAAAAATATATACCAATAATACAAAGATTCTCATGTTGTGCTCATTATTCTCTACATATCACTCTGGAACTTTGTTATTATTGTTATTCGGTCTAGTCACTGGTGCATTTGACAGCAGAGAAGTGTTAACGATCATGATATTCTATATAATCAAACAAATAATCAATCAACTGCCATTTGTAACCCGAATCAGAAAATCAGAAAATCAAATAAAAAATAATACCCGTGAATACATCTTTTTCGTCATACAGTTCAACTGGGATTTCTATCGAAAGTTTTTGTATTTGTAATGAGTACATTCAGATGCATCATCTCTCCAGCAACTTGGAATACCAATTTTACTCCATCTAGTCCCGCGCTTCATTCCATCATTTACTTCTCTCTGTAACTTAATTTTATCGTTCACATTTTTAACCGATTTTTTTATATATGAATATTTTTTTCGAAAGAAGGGGAACCACCACATCGGTCACATATGTTCCTTCACTCTGTGTACATACAAAAATCGGTCTGAAGGCTGGGTTCTTCCACCCGCTACTATTTGAGAAAAAAAAAGTTAGCGTAAAAAATAAATGCCTCGTTTTTTTTATGATAAAAAGTATTTACAAGGTGCTGAAGATATCTTCCATAGAACTTCATCTGATTTCTCCGCAAATTCCTCTTGATTATCTTGCGTGGAACTTTTGTTATGAGATTAATTGGAGTTGCCAACTTTAGATATGATCTACATAATTTATTCCATATTAATATACACATTTAATATTAAAAAGAGACCTAATCTATCAATTAATGGAGTTAAAAAAATTTTATAGGATAGTTCTTGAGTTCTATACTTTTATTTAAGATCGTACAAAATATAGGACCATATTTCATTGTTAAAAAGCAATTTTTTATTGAATGTTCACTAATTTACTAATTTAACAGATACTATAGTAAATTGCAGTCATTATGTCATATTCAATAAAATGTACAAATAAATAGTATTATTATACAATTTTTATTATATTTTTCCTTTTTCAATATTATCATCATCTGAAGTATTATAAAATCCTGCTTCTCCCACCTCAACCTCCTCAACCTCTTCATCAGTTCTAATTCTTCGTTTTGTACGTCTTGGTTTTTTGATTGTTTTAGCAGTATTAGAAGCAGCAGTATTAGAAGCAGCAGTATTAGAAGAAGTAGCAGCAGGCGAAATTGAAGTGGAAATAGATTTAGCATTTTTCCATTTTTGTATATCATCATTATCAATTTCCATAGTGTCAACACCATCTTCCTTATCATCATCATCATTGCTGGTAGTATTTAATGGGTCAAGATTAATTGGAATTTGTATAGCATCACATAATTTGTTAATTTCTGATCTCATTTGCGATAAATCTATTAAATATATAAATTTCAATTAATTAATTAAATTAATAACATAATAACATGAACATGAAACAATATAGATAATATTTAAACATCCATCATAATTTTACCTTTTAACAAACTTGAATATATTGTTTCATTCTTATTAGCTATTATTATCTTTTCAATTAATTTTAACAATATTTTACCATCATCACTGTTATTATTTGCCTTTTCACTTTGCTCATCCAAAAATAATCCCAATGTTTCTATAAAACGTGTTGATGAAATATTATACCATCTTAAAAATATTGTAATCACATAATCCATTTTTTCATCCCTACTAACATCTGATCTAGAATTACCAATTAGGGCGATTAGAAATGAAATCAAGCTTTTTGTTGGTTTGATACTTTCTAAAAGTAATAATAGCTCACTTAAAGTTTCTGGGTCCTCTAATAAAAATATATTATTTATCTATTTACTTAAATTATTGTTATAACAACATATAAAAATTACCATTATTAATATAATAAACAAACCTAATGGTTCTAAACCTCTTAAATAAATTGATGAACATATTATATTTTCTAGTTCTTTTTCATTGTCACCAATTTCTGCTCGTAATAATTTGAATAAGAACATTTGTTCAAATTGGCCCCAAAATAATGAAACAGCTGTATTTGTTGTGTGTGTATATACAAAATAAAGATCAATTACACACTTATTTAATATTTATCATATTTATATATACATATATATATGTATATGTATATGGTGGTAGTAGTAAATAAAAAATAACATGTTTTTCTTCCTTTACCTAAAATGTCATCAAAATCTACTTTCCCGAATAAAAAATACTTTTTTTGTCTAAGATCATTATCCATTTTATAAACCTAAAATATAAATTAATTTGACAACAAATAAATATGTTTATCATTATGACTATTCAAACTTTGAAATAAAAAAAAAAATTGTACACTTACAAAAAGTGAATTAACCCCATGTACTACTAAATATATAAATATAGTATCACCTGTAAAATGCTCTGGCCAACTTTTTAATAAACCAGGCACTATTGCATGGAAGACATTACTGTTTAAGTTTCGAAGTAACTGTTTTTGAAAAACAATTCAATATATAAATATATGATTTATATTGAATCATATTAAAAAAATTATTATTATTATCCTGTACACACATACATGTAAATCTTTCAAAAATCTATTTTTTATTTCAGCTGCACTGTCTGCAATTTTTTCACAATCTATTTGAAATGTTGTATATTTATAATAGAAATCAATAGTTTTCTTCAGATCATCCATAATAAATCCTGGTTTATCTAATTTTAATTTACTTTATTGTAAATATAAACATATGAGTAAGGTGAATAATAAAAAAGTATCAAAAGCAATTTTTATAATCAATCCATTCATTCATTCATACAGACCTTAAACTAAAAACTAGCAACTTGGTTCTACTTTTAATCTGAAGTTCTTCATTTTCATTCATTAATAATCTATACAATTCAAAACACTTTTCCATCATCTTTGTCATATTACTAGGCTCATCTTTATTATAAAATTTATTATACATCCATTTAATCATATGATGAATTAAATTATTCTCTGTAAATTTGATATCAAGATATCCTGAATTTAAATCATCCAAGTTATATGTGTTTTTCAATTCATCAAAATTAATTGTTTGTTGTAATATAGGCCCTATTTCTTTAGGAAGTTCAATTAAATGTGGTGAAGCCAAATTTCCCAAATCCACATTCTTTTGTTTTAATATATTAACATAGAATTAATAATAAAACATAATATATATAATAACATATAAAGTGCAAATCAATTTATTACCTCTAAATATCTATTCAAAATCTCTACAAAATGTTTAGTTGCTTCACCATAATTTCCATTCTGGCAAAACTCTTTAAACAATTGTAAATTTTTTCCATACATCCATAATTTTTCAAATTGTTGTGATTTTTGTTTTGTGTGTTGGTGTAATTGTGATCGTGTATTTCTTGAAGAACCTTGTGGTTGTTGTTGTGATGTTTGTTCCTGTGTATTTTTTTGTCCAGGAACATTACTATTATTTCTATCTCTTGTAGTAGAAACATTTTGATTTGATTGAGGTATATTGTTGTTGTTGTTATTTTTATTAATAACAGCCAAGATTTCTTGTTTAGCTTCATCAAGAAGTGGTGTAATTGGTGTATAATATAAGGGAATTTCATCATCATCAGCATTATTTTTTTGGATTTGTTGAAAAAATGAAATAGCTGGGGAATAGAATGGTGTAATTCCTGGTTTTGGAGGGTTTAAGAAATGTCCCCATAGTTCCTGAAAAATATTGATGAAATGTGTTTCTGCTAATTTTCCTCTAATAGTTATCAAATCATCTATACTAATTTTATCAAAATTTTATTTTTGTGTGTGAAGTGAAAAAAAAAGAAGAAAATTTAATTCTTTTCCAATAAAAAAAAACCATAACAATAATGATGATGATAAAAATGATTGTGCAAATGATTTTCTTACCATAGTATATTTTTTGTCACTATCCAATATGCTGCAGCTTTTACATTTTCTCGGATTTCATTTTCAATTTGAGGAACAAACAATGAAATAGAACCACCTAGCCAACTAAATAATTCTTTGAATGCTAATATGTCAGTTTTAATCAAATCAAATAATAATCTAATTGATGGTTCTGATAAAAAAATTTGGTATGTTGACAAAAAAGTTATTCAAGGGTATAATAAATTAAAAAATATTATCTTTGACCAGAATATAAATATATAAAATTATTCCTTTACCTATATTTCTTATATCTTCATCTATTGTGTTTTGATCAGTACACATCCTGTTGAAACATAGCCAGTCATAAAATAAAGCTCTTCTAGTCAACTCTTTTCCTTCCCAACTGGTCTAATATTATATATTTAAAGTATATAAAAGCAATCAAACCAAATAATTAATGACATGTATAATTCCTTAACATAACATACCACTTCATTCATTAAAGCATAGATTAAAATATGTCTTTGGTCTGCTGATGATGATATTGGGGGACGATATGTAGTACACAACCACCTAATCATATCAGAAACCAAAAACCTTGGATCATTGGTGTTTCTGAAAAAACTGTTTCTTAAAAAATTGAATTTTTTGTTATATGATTGCACAGTATGCTATGTTTTAGGAACATCAAATATTAATATTAATAAATATCCATAACATACAATTAGCTTCTTGTTATTATAGAACCTTGGACAATTATATTTGAACTGGTATGCAAGAGAACATACCATTTGTACAAAGAAAATCTTACTAAAGAGGGTATCATTATATCCATTTTGGGATGTGATTTCTCTAATGTACATTTTAAAATTTACTGATCATACCCCGTTATATACATACCAGTTCCTTAAAAAATTGCCAATTTATTATACCTCTTTTTACACACCAGTTCAAATATAATTATCCAAGGATCTACTATTATAATATATATATAATCTCCTTACTTTTTCCAATAGATATGTCATGCGATATTTCATGTCAAAGGTAATTCTACTTTTGATGCAATAATCATATGATTGCTTTCTAATTGTAGTTAGAATACCTTTATAACAAAATGATTAGATTAATTCATTTATATCAAAATAAATAAATGTAAATATAAAATATAAATACCATTGAAATCAATTCCTGATAAGATTAGACCAAATTCTGGTATATTGCCTAGTTCCAATAATAATCTATATAGATCTCTGCCAATTTTGAAAATTGATGAATACTATTTTGTAAAAAAAACTATTCAATATGAAATATTATTACGATTATATTAAATAATAAATACTACTATTTAGTTACTTTTTGATCCCATATCCTCTTGCATAGTCTTACTTTCCTATCCTTCAATCCATGATTAGAATAATGTAGGTCACGAATCAGACTTGCTAATGAATAAAAGGTAACATTTATTAGCCTTTCAAACTGATATATCCATTGTCTATTATTATTAATCAAAATTTATTAGTTGAAACTTTTTTGAGATAAATAATTATTTATTAAGCAGTAATAATATTTACAGTTCTGACTCTATAAAATCCATCATAACACTACATAGCCAAATATTTTCATCAGATATATCACCACCTGATTATAATGTTTTTGTTAAATTGATTTGACTAATTGATTGATCAAAAAAAAAATACTTGATTATTTAATTATTTGCTTACCACTAATTTGGCGAAAAAATAACTCACACAGCTCATCAAGTCTAGGCAGAGTGTTTGGGTAATTATTGGCAGAGATTAATGTCTGCATCAACCAAAATATCTGTATATAATAGTAATAACAATGTTTTGGTCAATATAATTATAAATTTTTTTGGAATATTTAATAAAATAAATAAACCACCAGAAATCAATTTTTCTTTACTTACCCTTTCCACTGTTGTGTATGAATAATCTCCAATACCTCTATATATAACAATTTTTATTAATTGTTGTATAACATATTCATAACCATCTCGGTCATGAGTAACCATATGTTCATAATACTAAAGGTGTAGAATCAACATCAAAAATAATTAATGATTTGTCACAATGCAACTTACAAAAAAGATAAAATATCAATATTTTACCAAATCTCGATTCTCTTTTGTATCTGTTAAAATTCCATATAACAGTCCTGACATAATTTTTTGACGATTTTCTGGTACCTAAATAAAAATCAAAAAAATTGAATAACCAGATCTTTTAAAAAATAGCGAGAGAGGAAAATTTTATTTTTCTTAAAGATGAAAGTACTAACCATATTGTAAAATTTTCGGGTAACATCTTCATTTGATAAACCTGCTATACTTTTCATGAGCCATTCAAAGTCTTCTGATAATTCCTTTTCAATTAATTAAATAATTACATGAATTTTTTATTTCTTTTTAAATGATCGGTCGCCTATATATTTATACAATCATAATAATAAAAAACTTCATTACCTGTATTAGAGGTGGTCTTTCAATAAGTTTTGATCTTTCACTTTGATTAAACATTGTGTTAATAAATAAATAATTATAATATCGACAGCATTAGTGAGAAAAAAGTAACTTTGTGATGAGATTAAATATTGATTGAGTCGTAGAAAAAGATCGCCGGAAATTATCCCTTAGATGAACAAAAATTGATTTCCCAAATTTGGCCCGAAAAATTCATATTAAATAATAGTAATAGGTCAGTAACAAAAAATAATAATCAAGATTCGATAGAATCTCGAACATAAAACTAACTGTGACCATTGACTGGGAGAGCACTCGATAGAATATTTTAATTTACAAAAAAGTGACAGAAAATTCATTCAATATAAAGACACTTGCCGTAAATGATTAGGTTGGTAGCTACAGTGCAAATCGTCTATACTCAAAATTATGATGAAAACCTAAATATCATGTGATCCACTTGTCAGATTTTAATGATCAACTCGGCTTTAAAAAAAAGAAATCGATTTATAATAAAAAAATTTAGTCTCATTTTTTAGTCGAAGATCTTTCTTAATTTGGAAAATCATAAATTTAAAAGTTTCAAAAGATTTATTTAAGATAAAAAACAAACAAGAAATTAGATTAAAATAAAATTTTAATTTCATCATACACAGAATCAGGAACTCTCCTGTGTGATCTATACTTTTTCACTGCAAACTCAACTAATCTTCCTGAAATTCCCTTTCTATAAACATCAATATATCTCCAGCTTTTTTGTGCATAATGACGAATTGTTGTTAAGGATACTGAATTTAATGCTTCTGGTACAACTGTTTGTAAACTTGACCACTTATAATCACAATTCTTTCTTGTATAATGTTTTGCAGCTCCCCAAAACATTACTAGAATCTGAAGAATAAATTTCATCTGATAAAATAAAATCCGAGTCAGAAGAATCTGACACTTTGCTTTCTTCAAATTGGCCTATAGATGAATTGTTAGATCGATTTTTGAAAATTTTTTCTTTGAGCAATTTGTTTTATTGATAATGGCATATTTAAATGATAAAAATAAATCAAAAACGCGATATTACACGAATTTACTTAGTAACCTTATATGTAAATTGGTATTACCTTAAACCTATATAACTTGGTTAATATTGAAGATAAAAAAAATTCTAGCCACTAACTTTGAAAGCTCTAGTGTTGCTTAGTAACAATTAGTTAGAATTTTTTTAAAATGCTTTTTTAATTTATTTGTATCAAATTTGGCAACATCAATTTTTATTTTGAGTATAGACGATTTGCACGAAAAATAATTCACCAATTCACCAATCAAATCAGTGTCATATTGTAACACGAACCTTTATTGGTCGAGATATAAAAAGGTTACACGTCAGTAAAATTTCTTTTTTTAATCAAGTATTAAAAAATGTACACATTACTTAACAACCCTTTTGATTCCAATAAAGAAAGATACTTTACTATTAAAATATATGTAAAAAAAAAATATTTATCTAAACTGTTAAATGAATCTGATTCTTATGATGTAGATTAAAGTTAGAGAAGGCCAGGATGTTAAAAGTTTTAAAACTCATTCCACCATTTTAAAAGCAATATACTTGTATTTTAAAACTGTTTTTCAAATAATTGGGTTAAAAAAATTTAAAGATGGTGTCATTTTATTTGAAAAAGAAAACATTACTTGAAAAGTATTTGAAGTTCTTTTAATGTAAGGATTGTTTAACTGAATATGTTAAATTATAACAATTATAAATAAAATATCTAATACAATGATTAAAATTATTATTATTATTAAAGATGTATTTACAATGGAATTATAAATACAGATAATAATAATAAAAAATGGATTTGGCAGAATTTAATTTATACTAATTATGTTTCATCAGAGCATCAATCATTCAATTTGCTTCAGGAATATTTTAACCAAATAATTTCTGATTATCCATGATCATTTTTAAAAGCTGATATTTTTCAAGCCATTGAAAAACCCATGGTCATATCTATATTAGAAAGTGATTATTTGGCATTGAATGAAATAGATACTTGGATTTTATTACTCAATGGGAATAGGACAAAATGAAACATTGGAAAAAAAAACATATTTTGGAGTGGGACAAGAGTGATTTTAAAGAATTGAAATTATAATAGAAGACATTGTTCCATTAATAAGATTCAAAGAAAATTTCAAGAGATGGAAGAATTTGAAGTTTATAAATTAATAAATTGGAATTAAATATTTTATAGTTGATTTAGTTGCTGCATACAAAATTACTTGTGTATTCCATGTATATAAGATATATTATAAATAATCTTAATGTAGTTCTATTTTTTTCAATCGGTCATTTTTGGCTTTTACATTTGCAATAAGACCAAAAGTAAAACTATATTTTTATGAATTAGAGAATAGTAAATATTTGAATATATATATACACACACATTAGAGAAAATAAATATTCTAGTTCTTTAATCCAAAAAACTTACCCAGAAAGGTTAAAGAAAGATGCCCAGAATCGAGGATCTAGAAAACTTTGAGCAAAAATTAAGGTGACAAGTGAAGCAGCACAAGCAGTTAATTCAAGTTTCAAAATAGATTTTTTAAAATTAGATATTATTTGATTTAAATCTCGTGAACCACCAATTATAGCCATTGCTATAGTAAAATAAATAAATAGTAAATATCATTATTATGATGTTATGTTATTGATAGACAGATAGATTGCATATAATTACCGATATGATGAATTGGTGTAAAAATTAATTGAAAAGTGATAACTTGTAGAATTTTGGCTGCTGCTCCTTTACTAATTCTATTGAATAATTTGTCGAGAACCATGAAAACATAGTGATTCAATGGACCACTAATTAAAAGCCCTTTAATAAATTATGTAAATGTCATATCATAAGCATTAAATATTATATATATTTCTTATGTATATGTGAATAAGTGTACCATATAATGTCATCTTGATTACTTTGTCATCAACAAACATAGATAAAATTACTTTATCGTCAACATTTTGTATTTTTTCAACACCTTCGACAGCTTTTCCTTCTTCAGCTCCTATTTTTCTTGACAATAAATGTTTTCTTCTTTTTTTATTTATTCCGCTTAATTCTTGAGCTAATAACTCTTGCAAGCAATATGATAGAGCAGAGGTTATAGCCTTATTGGCTAAAGGTTTTGTTGACATTTTTTTTTTTTTATATAAGAGAAAATATGATTTTGTAACCGTAGTCAATTATCATTTGTCTGATCGGACTTTATACCATTTTTAGAACTATGATTTATTTTATAAAATTGTAAAAAAAAAAATAGTACTTTATTTCTAATGTTTAATTGCAATTGCTTGTGAATATTGATATTTATCAAAGAAAGCAATAGATTTTAACATATGTTTGTTAAATTTAATTACTACACTGAACTTCTCGCGTTACAACGCCGATTTTGCATGGAAAATTTTTTTTTTTGAATTGAATTTCACTGTAACCAATATTGAGACAATGTTGATGATGGTAAAGATATTTATTGTACTAGTAATGATAGTGATGGATATATAGGCGCTAATTTTGGTGTTAACATAGTAACATGACATATCAACAAATGAAATCGTAACATTGTAGAGAAAGGTCTTAGCTTTAAAACTACAATTTTGTTTTTTTGGTCTTCATTCTATTTTTGGGGAATTGAAGAATCTATAAAATCAATAAAAATATCAGTTATTTGCACTGTAGCTTGGTATTTTTAATTAGTTTTTTGGCCAAAATTGCAAGATATGTACAAATCAACCAACTTTTAATTCCAAAAATCTGCACATATAATAATCTATTTGTATCTAGTCAAGGTCCTTTAATATCAATTGGACAAGCTCTAAATTAAAATAATTCCATATCATGAGAATCCTTTCACTGAGCTGCAAATGATGAATGTTAACAAAGGAATTGGTCTTGAACAATTTTCTCATACATAATGGCAATTAGGATAGGGGGACAGTATCAATATTATACACTACATAGTGTAGCAAATAGCTACATATGACAAAATGGAAACCATTTGTGCATTCAGCACATATTAAACAACAACTGCCTGATGAAGTGTGTTCAACAAATAGTGTCAAAATTAACTGCCTGCGGTTCTACTGATCAACTGCTGGTGTACATTATTAAATGTAAATGATGGTAATTGCCACGTAGTAATCACATTTTGCTCAGATAAACAAGGTACATGATCATCATTACTAACTTTTGATCCTTCAATTAATTTGTTCTGAAAAGAAACTACTTTTTCAACATGATTACTGTATTGTAATTGTTTAGCGAGTTTCCTCAAAATATTTATTATTCATTTTATACCAGTAAACTCTGATGCTTTATAGACATAAGCTAGGAAACCCGCAAGTAAGACTTTAGTCAATTGTTTTTGTTCATCAACATTTTTCATGATTTCCGTAACACTAATTTATTTGCCATTTATTACTTATTTATAGATTATTGGATAGCAAATGATGTCTGTGATGAAAATGATTGACAACTAATCAATGGAGGAAATCTTTGATTTTTTTAAAAAAAAACCAATTTATATAATTAGCTAAAACTTGATCCCGAAATCTATCAAAATTAAATAATGGAATGCTATAAATCACATGATTTGAGGGGTATAATAAATTCTCGTTAGTATTAGTAATTTTAATTTCCATATTTTGATTTTAAAAAAAATTCTTTCGAAATGTGTAATAAGAGTTTTTCATCCATTTTATTTAGCAACATTATTAATTCTAATATATTAATAAACTTGTAAATGACTTAACAATGTTTGCTAAATAATGCATATTATCATGATGTAGAAATCAAAGTCGAGGAAGACAAGGATTTTATTTGAGAAAAAAATATTCTCTAAAAGTTCTTTTAATAATATAATAATGACAAGTAAGCAGTCGTAGTTATTTGCGGCAAATTTGGTAGCTAAAATTTCTTTGAATTGTAACTGATGAATTTTAATTGGTCAGTTGTTCATAGATGGCTCCGAAAATACGGGAAGGCCGTAAATAATAATAAAATAAAGCTTAACCGGTTAACCGGTTAAATCTCAATTTTCGCGGTTAATTAACCGGCAAAAGAATTTTCGTGCAGTATATATTATTATTACATGTTCGGTTTCCATTTTCTTCATCCGCTTTATTTTTGCTGATCAAATAAAAGAATGAGATAACTGCAATTTCCTTGTTTGAGAGACACTTACCAGTCAGTTGTACTATTATGCGGATATTTTTATTAGTTAACTCGTGAAAATGTTGGTTCATGGTGTCAGATGGCAAACATCATGCATTCGAGTTCTTGTTCTGTTTTTCTTTGCTGATAAGAATGCCAGCAATTTTTCAAAGCTTGGGTTTTTGGCTTCTCTTTTCTTTGAGTCTATCGGACGTTTTTTTAAAAAAGCAATTATTAATATCGAACATATGTTTAGTCGCCATCATACATTTGTTCATAGCAATGAATGGAATAATTTAGTTGATGACCAATATACTTCATTATTCAGTAGAAATAACCCACATTATAAAACTTTTTCATCGAGGTCATGGAATCGATATTTCTAAAGGTATTCTTTTTCTTCATCACTTCCTTGAGATGTGAAGCGGTTTGTCTTCTTCGATATCAACATTTTCGACTGCGCCATTCTAGAACAAGACAAATTACCAAGATTTTGGTGATATATGGCATGGTTATTTAGTTGTATATACAATATGCTATGTTCCAAAAGTGGTAAAAATCAAATTCTGATAGTTTCGAAAAAAAATTTTCTCTTTATATAGTAATAATAACACAGTTTTTTGGTGAATAGAAACACGAAAATATTAAAATCATCCGTTTATAAATACAAAATCTTTTAAATTTTTCCAAAAATTTTTTTTAAATTAATTTAAATTAAATTATTATTCTTCATCTTCTTTTTTTGTTACAAATTTATTGTTTGATTGCTTTGTATGTGGGAGAGAAAATGGCGTTGTTAAATCGCTTTCCTCAAGTCTATAACATACAATGAATTTTGAGTAATTATTCATTAACTAATCAAAAGAAAAAGAGATTTATAATCGATCAACTCACCTTCTAAATTCATAACCTCCTTCTCCATCAAATCTTAGAAGCCACTCGTGATATTTAACTATATAATATTAATTAATCAATCATCAATCATCAATCATTAATTAAAACGAATCGATGAAATTATAATTAAAAAAATACTTGCACTAAAAAAAAAAATTTTTTTAAGAGATTTACAAAGTTTGTTAATATTTTAGTTGAGAGAAAATATACGAATATTGATAATAATGATTATAGTAGTAATGATAATACTTACTAGTGAATGCCTATGTGAGACGGTAAATAGTGTGATGCCAACTTTACGAGCATATGTATACATAATGCCTTCTACATCAACACTAACAGCTGAGGTACACTCGTCTAATATTGCCTAAAAAAAAATTATTTTAAATAACAATCAATAATATTAATTGATATAAAAACATCATCATCATCACAATAAAAAATATTTGGATAGACAACTTACAAATTGTGGACGATGATAAAAAAGTCTAGCCATTGCAACTCTCTAAATAATATAAATATATTACTGTTACTTCCTCGCCTGACCTCAATAAAAAAACCACTCACAATATTCGCATGTTATCTAACTACCTGTTTTTCACCACCGGATAAAACATCGGCCCAATCTTGTACAGCATCCCAGCTACCCTCACGTTCAACCAAATAGCCCAAATGCACAACTTCAAGTAGTTCCATCAATTTCTCATCATCCCATCCTTTAGTTTTTGATTGAGCTTTGGTATCAGGATAGATTATCTTTAATATATTGATATATTTATTTGCGTTTATGTTAAATACTTATTTTTTATCAATAATAATGTAATTATTTATATTTTAAAATTTACTTGATCACGAAAAGTTCCAAGTGCCAAATATGGTTTTTGAGGAACATAAAATAATTTGGAAGGTGTTGGTTTTGTAACAACTCCATCTATCAAATAAAATAATCAATTAATTATTAAATTTTTTTAAATAAATAATTTTTTCTGAATGATGAAATCTCACCAAATAAAGGCCATAAATCTCCAAGAATACGGAATAAAGAACTTTTACCCTATTATCAATTAATCAATTAATATATTCATATAGTTAAAATAAATAATGGATAATAGATATCATATGCACACGTACACATCCATTAGGCCCAGATATTAAACAATTCATTCCAGTCTGAACTTTGAATGATAATTCTTTCACCTAATACAATAATAATTATTATTAATATCAATTAAAACAATTATAATTTATTCGAAAAAAATCTTAATAAATGTTTTGTAAATTACCAAAACATCATAATTAGGAGTAATAATTGGAACTTTTTCAAAAATTATAACACCATCACTTCTTATAATTTTTCCTTTAAGATCGTTTGGTGTTACAGCTATAAATATATTTATATAAAATATTAATTCGTTTCTTTAAAAAAAAACGTAAAGGATATAATAATCATATATATAATTAACATTTACATTACCTCTACTAACATTTGCTTCTTTAGAATCTTTACTTACAACCATGGCTCGTTCATATCTACCCTTATTAACATCCTCTAATACATCAAACAATTCTGCGACACGGGACTTTTTAAAAAAAGAAAGTAAATCTTCAATTAATGATAACAAATGATAATATAACTATATTAATACTATTAATATATCATCGTTACTAACAGTGTACCCAGCAAATCTGGTTAAATCACGGCCAGCAAGAATTAATCTTCCAATAGCTTGTGATAAATTCACCAAGTATCCAGCTATTTTTACATTTTTAATTATAATAATAATATTATTGCTGTTGATCTGTACATTGAAATTAATAATATTAATAATAATTAAATAAATTATATATAGTTTTACAATTTCTTGAGTAGTCTTCCATAATCTTTGTTGGATCAGCGTCCATTTTACCCATGAATTCAGTGGCTAAAATATTAAAAAAAAAAGTTTTTTAACAAAACTTTAATACCAAATATTATAGATCATAGTTTTTCCCTTACCGTATCTAGGATCAAATACTGGTCTCGATAAAAGACTATATATATATTAAATCCATATAAATAAATAAATGCATGGCACGTAAAAATAAATGATTTTTTTTTCGTTATTATTGTGACTTACTAATAAGCTGTCATTGTTGCACAGTACTTCACCAACACCGAATCAATAATACCATTAAAGAATCTTAATCTATAGATTTTCTTTACATGTCTCACGATCTTATCGAAACTTCCATTTACAACAGCCTTTTCACGATTATTACCACCATAAAAAGCAATCTCTTCTGAATGAGTAATTATTCGAGACTGTAGATAAATTAGTAGTCATCGTTGTTGAAAGAAAAATTCAAGTAATCAAAAAAAATTCCTTAAATAATAATAATGTTGTGATTATTATGATTATTATAAAAAGAACATACATGTGTAAAACGGAAGTCACCCTCTAGTTTTTGTTCTATAGCAGTAACTATATATATATAATATTTATGGTTATCACTATTATTAGTTTTATAAATTAAAAAATAAAAATTATATATATAATCATTTTTTCATACATTTTCCAAATGGTGGTGACATGGCACGTAAAAGTAATCCAGACGACACGAAATATACAATCATATACAATGGCGCTTTCAAATAAAAATATTAGTATATATGAATATAAATGATATATATATATATATATAAATCTCAATATTTTAATATAATAAATACCTTCTCTTCCACTAATTTTTAAATATCAAGAAAAAATTTTATAAATAATTGCAAATAAGTAAAATAAACTCGCAAGCTTTTTTCATTTTGATTACATACATGGCTTCTCCCAACTTATAAGCAAATAATATTACATCTACTAAAGGTTTAGCAATATCTGAATATAAATGACTCAAGTTTTCTGCAAATTTATCAATATCCTAAATTTATTTCAAAAAAAAATTTTTTTTTGAAGAAAACCATTAAAATATATTAAATGAGTAATAAATGAATACTAATAATATTAATGATAGTAAATGTTACCTGAGTAAGCAATTGATCTGCATTTTGAATTCTATTGTCAATGTTTGAAATTTTATAAAATGTAATATCTTTTAAATATTGTTCGTGAGCATACTTATAAATAGATAATGAGAGAAAGAAAGAAAGAGAAAACATGATTATTAATTAATTGATGGTAATTATCTAATATAAATAATAAACATGAAAAAGTAATAATAGTCACCCTTGTAAGGCGTGTTCTAAATGATAAAGCTAATGCATTTATAGTAAGTTTTAAGGAATTGTTTACTACGCTCATTGGCCACTATATTATCAAAACGATAATAAATTATTATTAAAAAAAAATCAAAGTAAATCATAAATATTTCTTTCCTTTATTCTTTCTTTCTTTTACCATCATTAATCCGAATTCTATGACCGCTCTTGAAATAAAAGCTTTTCTATCTCTAGATACAATTGCTTTAACTACGTGACTGTATAATAATATTATTATTAGTTTTAATATGAATTGGAAAAAAAATAAGAATCATTAAAAATTATCATCAATTCACAAGAACTCTTACCCATTGAACGCTGAGAACCTTTCAAAATCCAGATTTAGTGATAATAAATCAAAGGAAAAATAATAGATTATTTTAATGTATGGAAATAATCAATCAATTATTTTTCCGAACAATAATTTTGATTTTTTAATTTTTACCATATGTCAAGCCATGTACGAGCAATTAAAACAAATGCAAGACTAATAAGTAGTATGAATTCCTTGGTAGCAACACCTATTTAAAAAAATAAATAATAATTAAAATTATCCACTCTTTCTTTTTTTTTTTGTTCTTTTCAAATAATGGTATAATATATATATTATCCTTTTTTTTACCAGGTATACAAATTGGTAATAATTTTCTAATCTGTGCAAAAAACCGTGCATCTACACCAACTTTTTTATGTCTTTTATTTCTATAATCGTGTGTTAAGGCAGCACGAGCAGCACGAGCCTCTTGTCTTTTTTTTTCGTTCTCTGCATACTGGTTAAGGATATATAATAAAACAACACCACCAGTAATAAACAGTATAGGCTTTTTTTTTGAAGAATGAGGTTTAGATAATATCGCATGAGGTACTGATAATCTTTGTCCCATTTTAATTAATTAGTTATTAAAAATGAAAAATAAAAAAAAAAAAATAATAATTCGTTTAAATCGAATCTTGAAATTTTTTTAAATCTGAATTAAAGATGACCGTAAAAGGCAATTTGTCATACTATGCATAACAATTGAGATATATATAAATTCTTCACAATAAATAAATAGAAAAGTCAAAATGGCAGTAATTTTACCACCGGAACTTTTAATACCAATATTCAAATACATTAAAGATGATTATAAAACGCTATATTCTTGCATTCTAGTAAACAAACAATGGCATAACATCAATATTCCAAATTTATGGAGAAATCCCTTCTATTCAAAAGACAGTGTAAAAATATTAATAAATTGTTTATTAGCAGAAGATAAGGATATTTTGGTGAATAATGATATTCAATTAAACTTTAAATTATTGGAAAAAAAACCACCAATATATAATTATGCCAAATTTGCTACTGAATTAGATTTTAAGGGAACTTATGATTTAACTAGGATGGTTACTTTAAATTCTTGTAGTGAATGTTATCGATGTTATCGATTAAAGGAAAAATTAGTAAATTTCATTTTAGATTATTCGACCATTAGAAAACTTGATACTATTTATTCAGGATGTAATCAGTTAATTAGTCATCACAGATTCAATGCTTGTTTTCAACATCTTTACAAATTAAACTGTGAATATTGCAATAGTTGTGAATTTTTTGATAAATTATCAAATGTTTGTAGAAACATTCAAGTTTTAAAAATCAATATTAAAAATGCTGGGCTATTAAATGATTTGCATGATTATGAAAGTAGACTGGTTCATTTAATTAAAGTGCAGAATCAGATCAAACAGTTATTTATTGATTCAGATAATTATGAAAATATAAGTTTTTCAGATGATTTCAAAGAATCAATATTGAAACATTCAAAATCAATAGTCCATTATAAAAATAATGGATCAAATAATATTGATTCTTTAATAATACCAAAATTACAAAATTTAAAAGTTTTACTATTGAAAAGTTATATTGAAAATTCTACGATAAAAAACATAAAATCTATTTTATTTCCAAATATTGAAACAGTGTATTTAAACTTTGTTAAACAACCATTTCTTTTAGATGTCTCAGAATTCATAAAAATCAATGGAAATAATCTTAAAAGTTTGACAATAATTGGGGACCCAAATGATGAAAATGTTCTAGAATTATTGATTCAAACAATTGCAGAAAATTGTCAAGATTTAAAAAAATTAACAATATTATATAAAAATAAATTGGATAAACAGTTGACTAAAGTGTTTGTTAATTGCATTAGATTGGAGTATATTAAATTTTATTCCTCTAGATGGGATTATATAATGGATGGTGATAGAATATTGTCAGCTTTAAATCAAACATTACCAAAAAACCTGAATACTTTACATTTTGGGAATCTAATTACTATCCTTAGCAATAATTCTTTGGATGTCTTTATGAAGAATAGGAAAGAAAGTAAGCTTTTTACAATAGTATTATCAGAACACAATGAATATTTGGAAAATTTGAAAAAAAATAGATTGGTGAAAAAATATGAAGATCTAGGATTTTTATGTATTAGATTCGAAGTTTGATGGCAGATAAAATCTAGATGCACGTGATTGTATATTATTTTTTCAGATAAATTATAAATATGTCAAAAACAAGAAATAGGAATCAAAATCAAAATCAAATAAATGATATATCAGAATATTCATCGTCCATAAATAATTATAATTCTGTTGCAATTTTTACTACTTTTAATTTATCATGGCATTTACTAATAACATTTACACAATTAATGCTTCTAACATTGTCTTTATTCTATTTTCCATCGATAAAATTGTTGTATATATTAGATGATAGTGTTAACAGCTTAGCTATTAGTGTTATATTAATATTAGTTATACAGTCTTTTAGTGAAAGTTTTAGATGGATTTTATATTTGGAGGGTGAAGGAGGTGGGATTGAAACTAGAATTACAGCCAAAACTATTTTTCGGAATCTGATGAATTACAGAGGCGAAGTAAGTAAATAATGAATCAATGGGATTGTTGTTATTAAAAACATATATCAATTATATTAATTATTTAATTATTATTTATATAGCATTTTGCAACATCAATATTTACAACATTGTTTGGTGCATGTTTATTTTATTTAATCGCAATTTTATTTGGGGCACCACTATATGAGTTTAGTAGATAATATTACTTTAATGATGAAATGATACTGGCATATACATACATACATAATTATTCACACACACCTCAATTTGTAGAAATGCTCGACAAACGATACTATTTTCAATATATTTATCAATATTAGCAATATTTCCTTCTTCATTAACATTGAAAGATCATTTTCCTGCATGGGCAAGAGTTTTTGCAAGTAATAAGTAATGTGTATAAATAAATAACAAAGAAAGGGAGGAGAGTGTGTTTGTTATATATTTTATATACATGTAATATTAATCTTTAAATATAATAATACTTGTTTTATTTATCAAAAAAAGTCCAGAGACAATACCAGAAAGAATGATTTATTATCCAGCAGTTTTTTCAGTATTGGGCGCATGGATAAGCGCAATTTTCATCCAATTCGGTTGGAATAAATCATGGCAGGTCGTTATAAATTATCATCATCGTCATCATTATTACTATTGTAAATCATTAATTAATTAATTTATAAATAAAGGTTTGGCCAATTCCTTGTGTTGTAGGAAGTTATGTTGGTTATGTTCTAGGAAGTTCTTATTCTTTAATTTCTAATTATTTTAGAAATGAAAGTTTGGCCGAAAGAAAAAGACGGGAATAAATAATTTTTTAATTGTTGATTCTAAATAAAAATGTAACTTTTAATACTAATATTAATATTAATATAATGCATTGTATTATTACCTAGTAAAAAAATGTTATATTTCAATATTATGGGGAGAAACATTCTAGTGTGAAAATATTAATTAATCATGTCTTAAGAAAACTTATGATGCTTTAAACCCTTGTAGTAAATGTTGTTTAAGTTCTAAAAATAAGCAATGAAATATCAAAATCACCCGCCATCCAAGTTTGAACAATTAACTAAAATATTTTTCGTTCGCAACATGACAAAAATCTAATGTCTAAAATAAAAAATAAGAAGATCACATGGGCCAAAAGAATATTAACTTTCTTAATTGTTGATTCTTCTTTGAAGGTGTATAGTTATCTCTTTTATATTTTAAGAATGGCTTGCAGAACAGATTTGCAAGCATCACACGCAATTTTTTTCTCAAACGTGAAGACACTAGTGAATTGATTGATATTTATGCATACACCTAGAAAAAATAATATTAAAATTAATGTGTATTGCCACATTTCCGTTTTCTACAAAACGACCAGCTCTTATTAATAATAATATGGAAACCATGCGAATCTCTTTTAATGTTCTGACAAATCGTTACTGAATATATTTATATATATAGCATTAAAAAATTTAATTTGAAAAAAAAGTTTTATCCTCTCGAGTAAACGATATTGATTAATTTATCAACTTTACCAGAACCATTATTGTCATTATCATCAGTATTTGTGGTAGCAGACATTATTATTATCGTTGAACATTAGTCATAATTGGTAATCTTCTTTAGAAAATAACGTTGATTATGTTGTATTATATTATTAATTTTATTGTCGAATTTCAAATGTCATGGAAAGTAAAAACTATGCAAAGTTTTTGATTTACGATATATCTTACCAACACGTCAAGCTTTTATATATTTAAATTTTTTGTCACGGTTAAAATTGAACCAATATTAATATATGATCGACCAACCGCGGTTTTTAAGCCATGGTTCAAACAGGTTTAACATGGTTTTCAAACAATCTAATTGATTTTGATATATGTGAAGGTTTACGACCACCAACATTACCTGAAATACTTGATGATTATCTACAAAAGATGAAGAAGTGTTGGGATGCGGATCCATCAAAAAGACCAACTAGTGAAATGAGCCGAAAGTTTGAAAAATAATAATAGTAACAATAATAAAAAGATTATTCAAATTTTCTAAAATCAAAAAAACATGACATTAATTTTAATAATGACAGTAGCAGCAGCCGTAGTGGTGATGGTGGTGGCGGTGATTCGTAACAAGCACACAAATCGCATTTAGATGCAAAATTTCCGGACAAGCTGGAAAAGCATTTAGCATTTATTTATCATCACATTTTTTAAAAATTTGCTATATTATAATAAATAATTCTATTTTAAATTATTTGTCATGATTTTTTATCATCGTCATCATTATTACCACCACTATTACTATTACTATTACCACTATTATTATTACCACTACTATTATTATTATTATCATCCTTCTCGCCAAAATTCTTCTCATTATTGTTATCAGATTTGGTATTGTCACTTTTACCCTGGAGTAAAGATGTCGGTGAAGATCTTTTATTTGATTCATTGTTATTCAAATGAGGATCATCACCAACGTGTTCTAGTTTATCAGCACCAGTAGTTGTAGTTGTGGTCATGGTTGCGGTTTCTGATAGAGGATTATTTGAAATAACATACATTGAACCATCTTTTTCATCCTTGATAAAAAGATTATCCTGTTCATCATTATAAATGGCATATGTTTTATGATTGTTTACATTTATAATGTTAAGTTCTTGGTCTTGATTTTCTAAAGTCATCAAAGTATCATTGTTTTGTTGTGAGGTAGTCGTATTTTCATCATCATTAATAACAATAATATCAAGGTTTTCATCCTTCGTGTTATTATCACCATCGACATTGATTTTTTCAGTGTTTTCAGTGTTTTTTCTTACTTTTATTATTTTTACTTTACGAAGATAATTCACCGATGGAAATGTAGTTGAATTATTAACTTTTTTTCCTATTTTTATCTTTTTTTTTTTTAACCCACCCCCCAAAAAATTAGTATTATTAGTATTAATTATTATCATTATTATTATGACTGACAATTCAAATGAAATTAAT